CAGCGCCCCCGCGCGGCCCCGCCCCGCGGCGCAGCAAAGGAAGCGCAAACGCTCCGCCCTTCCCAAAAATTCCTTTATTGCCTCGAGCAACCGGGTCTGGCTTTCCACAGGAAAGAGCTGCCTTCAGCACAGGTGCGGTACAAACGGCAGGGCGAGTTAATGCGACAGCCAGAGAGATGAGGAAAGGTTTATTACAATGTAATTATGCATAATTTATATAAAAAAAAAAAAGGAAAAAAATACTTTAAAACTGTTAGACGTAATACAAATTATTTTATAGCATAAAATCAAGTTGCCAGTGTATGTATCAGTACCACACTTCAGAGTCTTGGGCTCCCACTGCTGATGAGTGGTCCTTTCTGCCCACCCTGGGGGTTAGGACCTCCCCTGAGATCCATCCACTTCTCGGGGTCAGCCCAAGCAGCACCAAGGTTTCTACAGAGTGAGGTCTAGCACCCGGAGACAAAGCACAGGAAGGTTCTTCTAGTTTAAATTTCATAGAAACAGCTACAGCTGTAAACGGAAGAAATCACTTCCACATCTAAGAACACCTCATGGATATCCTTTGGACACACAATTCCTGAACTGTTCAGCTTCAGCTGTCTTAAAAAAAACAAAAACAAGTAGTTCAGAAATCATTCACAAAGCAAAGGTTAAAATCTGTGTCTTCACAGTGAGTCTCTTCTGTGAATTAAGACATACACATTGCATCTCTATTCAGTAACAAACCGAAGGACCTGGAAACCCACACTGATTATTCTGACCTCCCAAAACAAGACAAAATCCAGCCATGGGATTATGTGAAGTCTGTATTTGTCAACTGCCCACAGAAGAAAAATAAAGCATGGGAGAAACAGAACTGATTGTAAACTGAAGCACTGGACTACTTACAATAAAAGGCACCAAGAATTCCAGGGGGGGGAAAAAGGAAGGAGGATCACGAAAGGAGAATGCCCAGTGAATGGAAAAGCTCACTGGATTTGTCCTGAAGCTTGCCCTCATAAAAAGCAGAGGCTGGAGGAAAGCAGCCACTAGACAGGACTTTTACTCCTGCCAGAGAGTGACAAAAATACAAAACATTTAAATAACCAGGTTCTCCAAAGTGAGTAAAAAGTCTTTGATGGTTCAAAGTTCCCCCTGCTCATTTTCATCACTATCATGTTATTCTCCTCAGCACTGTTGTGCAATCCATTTACTACCTAATCTAAGTGGGGATAAGGTGTTCTGGCATAATGTAATCAACAGTGTAACCAAATCAAATAAATTGATTAAGCAGTTGAATTTTATCTCACTATACTCTCTTCCAGTTCACTCCAGGATGGCTGCTTGAGCCTACAGAAATGGAGGAGTTGTGCAATAATACTTGCTCACAAGATTTCTTCTCCACAAAATGGTTGTAATTCAGTTAGGAATAACCACAAAAAGATGCAGGATTAAAAGATTTCAGTATGTAAATAAGTAAAAACTTTTAAAAACAGTAGTAGCTTCAGTACAAAACTGCAAATACATGTAGAAAAAAAAAAAAGTAGACTTTTAATTTCAGGCACCTCTTAAGACTAGTTCAAACATATCACAGACTTTTAAAAGTACATTTCTGAATAAAGCAAAGGTTATGGGCTTGCACTGGGGTCAGTTGATTTAGGTCTGACCAGCATTAAAACAAACCATGTGCACTGGCTTAAATAAATACATTTTAAACATGATAAAGTCTATTTACTCAGTTACTGAAATTTACCTACAGAAAATAATCTTGAATTACAAGGCACGGAGTTAATTGCTGCCTGCAAGTCCAGCCCACACTAAAGGCCTACAGCTAAAGCAAAGGCAGAATGTGGTAAGTAGAGGTTATCTCAGTGAATTCTCTACACCCTCACAGCCTCCAGGGCAGGAACCACATCTGGAACAGCACTTCCTCTGCAAGTGCAAGAGACACTCCAGGCAATGGCACTTGGTGAAGGAAAACGTGCAGAGTCTGTAGGCTTCTGCAAATATCCTGCAGAACGGGTGTTTTTGTACTGCCTGTGCTCAGCGTTTGGAACTCTGTGTTGGCTCATTAACCACAGGTACCAGTATTTGGATTAATTGCAATTTATAATCTCTGGGTTGCAATTGGCTAAAGCAACACCAAAATGAGCACATCTCAGATTAAAAAAAACTGCAGTTAGTGTCAGCATCAGTTACACCAGCTGAAGAAAGGCACATCCTCTTCAAATAGTGGAATTAGGGCACAAATACCAACATTTCTATCCAGAAAGTGGAATTAGGGCACAAATGCAAATGTTTCTATCCATCTGGTATTTTTGCCAGCATCACATAAAACAAGGTCAAATTAACACAAGATCCCTAAAAACCTTGTTGATATATTTTCTGTTATCTTGCTAAAATGAGGCACTTTTTTCTCTGACCAGGGTATACACCAGTGCAGTTTTGCATGTGTGGGAATCACAAGAAAAAGCAAGTTCTGAATGACCAATTGAGGCTGCAGCCAGACAAAGACAGCACTGTCAACTTCAGACAACAAAGCCCAGTCCAGCACCAGTGGTTTCACACAAAGTATCTTTGAAGCATGCTGCTTTCATACCACGGAGCTGGAAGGTTGAGTCTAAGGAAGGGCTCATGCGCTCACTCCTCAGCTGGTCCCGGAACCACACATAAAGAACAGTGCACATCCTGAAAATAAAAGCCAGCTGCCACTTACTAGAGCTGCTAAAGAAGGTTAAAAAGTATGTAAATAGAATTTCAGTTAAAAAGAGTTTATAATAGCTGAGCATCCAAGAGAGGAAAAAACCGCCCAGGTAATCCTATCCAGTGACTGGCTAACCATTATAGACTGAACTGAAAACAGGAAGAAGCACGGGTTCCTGTAAACAGAACCTCCAAATTTTCTGTCAGTCTTCTCACAGAAAAACAAAGAAGCAATTTGCCATAAAAATCTCAGATGTTGGCCCCAAGAATGTCAGGAACTGAAGCAATTAATTCCTCAAGAGCAAACAGGCTGCTGTCAAGTCTCTGGGATTCATCAAAGGGATTACACTGAAAATCTCATTTTGAGAAGTGTCATCCCAAATACCTCAGTCAGCCTGAGAAGGTAACTGTTAAAACTTTATTCTCAGGGTGCTAAGTCTCTTTGGACAGTGAAATAAAATCTCAGTTTAGAAGATTATGGAAGACTTGAATCTAAACTACTCTTCTACTTCTCCACCTCAAAACTATGAAAATCACTCATTTGAGTGAGTCATCATTATTTTAAGTTCCTTACATAAGGAGAAATCAGCTCCTGCTTCTATTAATAAATCATTGCAGGTATTATCTTGGTCTTGCTCATTGCATTAACCATGCCTAATGCTAACTCTTCATACAGTCAATCACAGTTCACTGTAAGGTGAATCTCAGTAATAGTTCAGGTATTTTTGCAAGTAAACAAATTGTTTTCAAGCTCTAAATTGACAAAACTGGACAGCCAGACTTCTGTTTGTAAAACAAATTCAATCAGTAAATAAAGGATGGGAAAAGCAGCAGCTACACTTAAAGCAAAATTATATCAGAATTTATGCTTTTCAGCAAACCTAGTAACTGATGGCTATCTAGTAAAGAAGTAGCTTCAAAGAAGTCTCCTCTTTTATTTTCCTCCACTAAAATAATCAAGTGATCCCTGGAGAAGCTGGAGACTGGAACTTCAGAAATAAAGTAGGTATTTGACCTCTCAATTGGAAAAAAAACCTGTTCTGTTTCAGTTTCCCTGAAGCAGTAAGACTGCAAGAATATTCATTGTATAAACCATTTCTGCTTAGAGCTGTTAGTGCAAGATGCAAATCTTCAATTTAACTCGTTAAAAAGCCCTCCAAGATTCTAGTCAACTTCCAACATGCATCAACCAAGGCAACTACAATAAGACACATTTTCTTGTGTTCTTCTTTGTCACAGGATACAGAACTGCACGGACAGCTTCAGCAAACACCTCCCGAACACCCTCCTGATTCAATGCCGAGCACTCCAAATATTTGACTGCTCCAATTTGTTTAGCCAGTGAAGTCCCCTGCTGCGGGGTAGTGGGAGCCAAGCTCTGCTCTTTCAACTTTTTAACCGTTTCCAGGTCACTTCTCAAGTCTCTCTTCGTGCCCACTAAAAGGATGGGGACATTTGGACAGTGGTGAGAAACTTCAGGGTGCCATTTGTGCCTCACATTTGCATAGGAAGAGGGGCTGCCAATGGAGAAACAGATGATGAAGACGTTAGTTTGGGGATAGGAGAGCGTGCGCAGGCGGTCGTACTCCTCCTGGCCCGCAGTGTCCCAGAGGTTCAGGCTGACTGTCCGGCCATCCACGGTCATCTGGGCACTATAGTTGTCAAACACAGTAGGGATGTACTCTTCTGGGAAGGCATTGGTGGTGTAGCTGATGAGGAGACAAGTTTTTCCCACCGCACCATCTCCGACAACCACGCACTTTATAGTCTGCATTCTTCACCCAGAGACAAATTCCTGCACAAAGCAAGAAGAGAGGAGTTAAGCACGCTCAGTGGTGCTCACTGTGAAGATAAGCTTTAGCAAGTGTTTTTAATATAGCTGAGGATTTCTTATCACATTCAGTGTCTCAAGCCACTCTGAAGAGCTGGAGGCTAGAAAGACAATAGTGAAATGGAGATGCAATGAGTGGAGAGCTAAGTGACAATTGGCTGCATTCCAACCATGTAAGTACAAATTAGCCAAATTCCCACAATCTTGCCTTACTGCCAGACTGTTTCCCACAGGCAAAAGGACAAGTCCTTAGGGGCACCTGCAAGTAGAAAGGGATTGTGACCCAGTAACAAGATACTCTGTCGTTTGTAGGTTCACATATCCACCTCTGTACACACACACTCCAACACTCACACTTGCCTACCCAGTCTGCTACCTAAACAGTTTACCACAAAGAAAGGTCCAAAAGTTATATAAAAAATTAAGATATTAATTTCTCGGCTGGACTGCTACTGCTTATGATAATAATTCACTACACTCAGATCAATCAGTCCTGAATAAACTACATTATTTACAGGACACCAGATAAAACATTCAGAAAGCAGCACATTCAAGAAAAGCTGTTATTTGAAATCTAACTAGCCATGGTAACCCAGATTAAAATCCATAAAGAATTTTTCTAAAGAAGCCAAGAACAGATTACTCTCACTAATCACTGACAGAACAAGCAGGATTTAATAGGCTTGAGTTACTTTGTGTCCTCTAAATAATGAGCATGAGAAAAATACACACCCTAAAAAATCAGCAGTCAAACAGCTTTCCTGGGAAATTGTTACTCAGGAGATTCTTGAGACTTAGAGGTTTTCCATATCCCTTCCCTGAGATGTGAAGACTAAGTTTGACAATCAAACTGATACAGTCTAAAACACAATTAATTTTAAACTTTCATCACATGAACAGTAAGAAGTTTTAAAATAGCAGGGAACTAACTACAAGCAGTCATTTGTTGTACATTTCTTGTGTGCTGGAGCTTCCACTGCTAGCCTGGACAAGAAGGAACTTGCATCTGCCTTCTCACCCAAATGCCTTTGAGGTACTATCAGTAATCCTCAACCTGCAACCAGCAGAAAATACCCTGCTTCAAACAGAAGAGAATACTGGGAAGAACTTTTTAGCAGGGCCTGTTATGATAGAACACTGGGTAAAGGCTTTAAACTAGGAAAAGATTGATTTAGATTAGATATAAGGTAGAAGTTATTTACAGTGAGGGTGGTGAAACACTGGCACAGGTTGCCCAGAGAAACTGTGGCTGCCCCATCCCTGGAAACATTGAAGGCCAGGCTGGATGGGGCCCTGAGCAGCCTGACCTCATTGAAGATGTCCCCACTCACTGCAAGGTGGTTGAACCAGATGACTTCCAAAGGTTCCTTCCAACCTCAACTATTTTGATTGCATATTCCAGAAAGATCTCAGCTCTAACACCATCAAAGTAGCAAAGGGAATATAGAACTTCAAGACCATCCAAGCAAATCAATAATTCATTTTCATTTAAGCCTCAGCTTTGTCCTTTTAGATGAAGTCTTTATCTGCATCCCCATTCTCACTGGGAGCACATGATTCTTCTGAACTAAGTGAGAACAGGCTACCTGAAGCTTTGGCACAAAGCTGCATCAGGCAGCTGGAGTGACAGTGACTGCTCACCACAACACACAGTGCTTAAGGAAGTATCACTGTGTGTACACAGATACTACAGAAACCCCCAGTGGCCACACAGGGTGGGAAGGAATCACCTTATGCTGTTTGTGCTGCCAAAGCCTGGCTGGAGCATACACAGCAGGTTTTAAAGCCCATTCCTACACTTACATCAAACCCTGAAGTACCAGAACCTGCTGTGCCAGAAACCTTAGTGGTGACCACCACTGATTCCAGAGCAAAGGTTTTTGTCCCAAATGAACCATCTGTGCAACAGACAATTCATTTTGACCAGTCAGTAATAAGTGACATCACAGAGATGACAGAGCTAAATCAGCAACAAGTCTCATGAAGAACAAGATGATACACAAAGCCTTTTATATGCCCAACCCCTAGCTTCTAAAATAAACAAATTGCAAACACTTGTAAACAGATCTCTCTTTAAAACCCAAACAAGCTCCCCCAAGGACTTAAATCTCTTTGCACTTCTGCCCAGAGCTCTGCACAGAGTGACAGGGTATCCCCAAAGTGCACCCCAGCCTGCACATGACATGGCTGAGGATCATCACACCAGCACTGTCAGGCAACACAGCTTCCCAAAGGGAAAAATTCCAAAGCCACCTGTATCCCAGACCATCAGCAGCTAACACAATCTGATTCAAAATGTCTAATGAAACTGTGTTACCCAAAGATTACTTTGTTGGTGTTTTATTTAAGAGGTCATTAGAGATTTCAATTTGGAAATTGCTAATAAAGTAACAAAAAAAGCCTGAAACATGAACGCTCTTTTCATGCTACTAATACCTTGAATTACCTCACTAAAACTCGGATTCTAGAAGAGCAACAATTGCAATGGGAAATAATTCCATGCAAACCTGCCAAAGCATTGGGCAAAGTATTAACTACACAAACATGCTAAAGAGCTTGTAGGCTTTTAAGTAAGATTCTCTGAAGGGCCCCTTTAAAGGAGGTTGCCTAAGCTGAAAGGAATCGTGTGTGGCATATGCAATACAGAAAAACAAACACACACCAGGATAAACTTTCTTGGCATTGAAACACAAAATTTAGATAAATTAATCATAAAATAAAGAGTAGTAAGAAACTACTTGATTCCAGAAAACTATTGTGAGCAAGGGTAGTTTGGTTAAAGATTTATATATGGAAGACAAGAGTCACAACCAAGCAAACTAATACTACATCCATCTATTTTCTCTCTTTTCTATTTCTTTTCTATTAAATCCATATATTTAATAATGTACTTAATACTCATAATGTATGAAGATCTCTAATTGTTGTTTAGCAAATAATTTGCCTACAATAAAACTCTCATAAGATAGTAAAAAGCTGGGGTTCAAATTTGCATGGAAAATTCCAATTTCTTAAGCAGCCTTGAAATTGGCACTGCATGCTATCTAAATATAAATATACATTGAAAAAAAAACCAACCCATACTCCAAAAACAAAATTACCAACAAATATTACCAAGAGTAGGAAAATTAGTTTAGGGTTTGTTTGGGTTTTTTTTTTTTGTGACCTTCAAAAGAATTTCTGGGGAAACTTTAGAAAGAAAAGTTCCACATACAACAACTAACAAGAACTGAAAGAGAGAAAAATACAGATTAACACGTCAACACATTAAAAAAAAAGCAATTTAGAAACAGAAAGCTGGGCACAAGCTTCAAAGCCAAGTTGAAAGGTTACGCAGCAAGAAAAACAAGTGAATGGAAAATCCAAAGAAGTGAGAGGTAATCTGGGTTCCTTAGTCCTTGCATAGAAAGGGCTTTTATTACAGGTAAGGTTCAAGCAGCTATAGCAGAATTGAAATAATTTTCAAATTAAATATTTTTTTTTTAAATGAAAAAAAAAAAGAAGAGAAAGAAAGAAGTGCAAAAACAGTTCTTTCTATCTCGTCCATCAATGACTTTGAATTTGAAAACTGGCATTCCCTGCTTGGGTCAGTTTTCTTTTCAGACGATGCTGATGAGTCTGACTTCACTGCCTGCACACCTGGCACTTCCTCTGGAATGTGCAAGATTTCAATCAACATGTCAAGACATCATCTGAAGAGCTGCTCCTGTTCTGACCTAATTAAGCATTTTCTGGTATCATTAACATGGACAGTTTGCTCTCCAGATGAACATTTGCTGGGGAAATTCACTTCTTGGAACGCACACACAGAGTAACTTCACACTGCATCAAAATTTTTTTGTGGTAAAGAAACAACTTCTAGATCTTCCCTTCAATACTCCTGAAGGGAAGTTCCCTGTCTGCTGAGAGAAAGGAGAATACAGTGACAGAGAACAGACACAAAACAGGAACCTGGATCCTTTTGTAGTTTTCTAGATTTATGGTTTTTATACTTCCTACACTTCTAAAACCTCTTTGCAGAACTACTTCTTAGCAGGACATGCCTACATACCTCTGCCTTTGCTCTTTTAACATCAGATGCCTCTTTGTTAGGTGGATTTTAGCACGGATATTGCTCTTTGATAAACTCACTGAGTTTGTCAGCTCTTCCTCCCTTCTCTTTACAGTTTAGATAGGGCCCCATTTTGGTCAAAACTGAGCAGAAAACTCCCTAGGAGTTCAGCTGAAACCAGCTGTACTGACCTGTGTCATTCTGCTCAGCCATCACATTTCATCAAGCCCTCGCTGTTTTGGAGAACCAGATCCTGCTTTACCAGGGGCAGACAGAAGTTAAGAAATCTGAACAATTTAATTGCTCATCTTTCAGTAACAAAAATCAGAGGCAATTCACCCTGTCTGCCTTGAAACATGAAGTCAGGCAGGAACTTTCAACAAAGAACTGGGTGGATAGGGCCATTCTAAATATATCACACTATCCTCACCCATGCAAAGGAGTTAATTCACATGTACAGCTTACCCACCAGGCCTAGCAGGGAAGAGAAAGGAGCTCTCAGCAATTTAATCAAGACTCTGTTACTATCCCACAACAGCTCAGCTTACTCGCCATTGTTTTAGGCAAGTGCCAAGGGGATGGAGAAGTGCCAGGCTTTCAGAATGCATGCCAAGAAAGAGCAGAAAAAGTTAAATAGGAGACCTCATCCCTCATATCCTTCAGCAATGAATGACCTACTTGGATTTCTCAGTGCCTCTCAAAGTTTTCACACCACTTTCTGTCCTGCCATTTACCTGCAAGAGAAACAAAACTGCAACAGTCTGAGTGGCTGAAAAGAGGGGAAAAAAGTCCACAAGGGAAGGCAAGACTTCAGCAGCACAGCAGGAACTGTGCAGTCCACCACCCAGGCTCCACATGAACAACAGAACTGAGGAAACTTGCTCTCTCCCGAGCTCTTTGCCTATAATTTCAGTTCCCAAGCACGTAACAATTCTTGTTGGTTGTTCCTTCCGTGCCAATGCTAGAAAGCCCTTCATGCCTTTTGACACAAGAAGTTGTTTCTAGGAAATAAAAGAAACCCCTCAAAACCTTTCAAATATTTTAAAAACCTCTACCTCTGTCAAATTAGGCTGAAATTGGTTTATTGATTTAAAGATTTATTTTTTTTTCAGGGATGAAACAGACATGAGCAATATTTCTTAGGAAACTACGGTGAAAATGAAGTCCTCTGCATGAGATATTTGGGCAACTCAGCCACACAAACCTCTTACTACAGGCTCTCATACTCCAAATTTTATAGCACAGCAATGATATTAGTGACCAAACATCAAATACTTTAAATTCTATGAATCCAAGATATTGGATGGATAATTTATGTTTCCAAAAGGCATTACCTCATGAGAGAGATGCAAAGCTGATGAAATAACACTGTGACAAGGTGCAGCTGCACAGCCCACAGGAACTAAAACCAAAGACTTCAGCAGATATCCAGATCCCCAGTGATGAACACGACACACATCCTGCCATAATCAAAAGCTGCAGAGCATTAAACTTGGATTTTCCTCCTGCAACCACCGTGCAGAGGCACGGATGAATCAAGACAGGGACCCTTCACAGTTTATTTGAACACAAGTGACCCTCTGATGGTGTAAGAACAGGGCTGCAAGGTGCTGTGCCCACCCACTAACTCACTTCCTGGGCAATACAAGCAACTTGCACAGGTCCTGGGGGGTCACAGTCAGTTCATAAAATGTTAATAACCATGTCCTTCCCACCTCCCATAGATTCTGACAAAGCCTTAGTTGCTACTGTTGGCTAAAACAAACAAACAAACAGTACCTCAGACATAAGGTTTTGTGCAGAGGTGTTTTAAACACGTTGCAGGATGAATGGCAAATCCAGTTTAAGCATTCTTGATTCCTGTTTGAGGCAAAAGGAAAAATAAAAAACTGTTAGTATGTCTTCCTGTCATCTTTTGTTACCTGGCATTTGCTGGCACTCTGAGTTGTAAAAAAGCCATTGTTGCACACGAAAGGCAATGTCACACCAGGAAAATCTAAGCTTCTATGAGAAAATAAAACCCCTCCACATTTTCATTGGATTGCACGTCTCTGATTCTTCTTCCTCCACCCCTAAATTTCACTGTCGGGGGGGGGGAGATTTAATAAAAAATAAAAACACAAACAAGAATAAACAAAGAAAGATCCAAACAAAACCCAACCAAAAACAAAACCGAAACAAAATCAAATAAAAACCCCCAAATGAAAACAGAAAACCCCAAAACACAGAAACCAAAACAAACAAACAAAACCAAACAAAAATGCACTTGCTCAATCAATACCAGTTTTTTCAAAGAGTTTTGGTATGACTAAGACAGGAGCTAATGCATGCACTCAGTGTGTATTTTATCATGGGTTGTGCACTACAATATGGGAACAATTGCCAAGTCTTATTTGCATCAAGTATTGCAATTCTAAAATGTGAGCAAAAGTTACCAGAGTCAAGGAGTCTCTCAGAAGTTCATCAGATTTACACATACAAGCATGTAAAGTAAAAAAAGATACTCCCTGTAAAGGTACATATCTTTACATTGACACCAGATTGTGTGAAAATTCTTTGGACCCTGAAAGAATCACAGCCTCACCACATAAGCAAATCAAACCACATGTTCAGTTTCCTCCTACTAATTGCAAACCGCATATTTTATTGTTTTTCCAAGATCACTGCAAAGTTCCTTCTATGAATAATATTTAAAAGCTTTTTAAAATGGAAATGTTAACCTAAAATACATCTCATAATCTTAAGTTCCATGTAGAAAAACCGCTGTGCTGGTGAACAGTGGCAAACTGGCTCCAAAGTATGCCTTCAAGTGATGTATTTTACATCTTACACGGAAGAGAAGCAAAGAGCTAATGATGCTGCCACAAGAAGCACTGCACCCCTGCCCAGGATGCACATTGCAAGTGTAAGGTACGCCTAAAGAACATTTACATTAAAGCATTCAAAGCTTTTTTATAACTCAGAGTAATTAAGGTGGGAATCACAAGTGTTTATAAAGCATAAACAGATACTGATTATTCATTGGTTCCTGGAAAAAAAACAAAAAACAACAAAAAACAAAAAACAACCAAACAAGACCAGAGAACAACACAGGGGGTAAAAAAACAGAAAGAGAGAAGTTCAGAACAAATAAAAAGCAGCATTGCTTTGGGTTTGAGGTTAAGCAGGAACTCAGTGCAGGCTGTTATAAAACTGAAATTTCACGGCACTGCAGAAGGGAAGCACTGAGCTGATGAAGGGGAGCTCCGTGGCAGCTGCTAAACGAGACACTACCGGCACCCCTCACCTTGCACTTCTCTCCCTGAGACAGCACTTTGCCAGTTTCTGGAGAATAAATCCAACCCTCCCGTCTCCCTCACTCTCAGCAGCGCAGCGAGAGACCTTCCCACAGGCTCTCACCCTCATCCTATGCCAACTTTTTATGACACTCGCTGGGAGCAGAGGTCGCCTCGAATTTGTCGCGGCGCTCCTGATCGGGGTTCGCGTTACAGCAGCCCGGCCCAACCTTGGCTCGCTGCGGAAGGGGAGAAACCGCGACCTGCCCCGTTCCTGGGCAGAGAAAGGCTCGTTCCAAACCCTTCCCCAGCATCCCCGGGCCCCCGAGCAGCACACTGAACTCCGCACGCACCGCCCAGTGCAGAAGCCGGGGCGCGCATCCCACTTCCCGAAACCCTGCGGACACGAAGGGGCCGGCACGCCACGCGGCTGAGGAGCCCCCGGTGCTCCCGGGCTGCCCTGCTCTGCCCCGGAGCCGCCCGCGTCCCGGCGGGACAGGTGCCGCCACAGCCTGGCCCGGGCCGGGTCCCG